GGTAGTTATGATTACAATAGTACAAATGACTGTGTAGAGTAAAAGTAAACCTACGCATTGCGATTCAAATTAACTGAGAAGTAGTATATCTCAGGACTAATAATACAAAATTTCTATACACTCCGTTTTTTCACTGTATACGATAATATTACTGCTGTATTTCTTCGTATTGTAATACGCCAATATACGACCATTTACAATGGTTTCCAAGTGTACTTGTTCAACTTAGAATGCTTTTAGAAGTAATGAACATGATTATTAAACTATTGAATGGCTCAATCGATTGTTCAATACTGTATACAAGTGGATGTGATGTAATAATTATTACGAGTTAGAGAATAACTCTGAACATATCATTATGATAAACGAAATAAAAATATATGAATAATGAAAAACAGGAAAGTTATCAATTTGAATAGATAATGAAAAAAATTTTTTGTGTATTCACTGTATTCAATCATCATTTACAATTAAAAAACTCTAGCGAATAGAGTTACGATAATACAACGATAAATTAAATTTCACAAAATTTCTGTATAAAAACCAATTAATATTACATGTTTAAACCGAACTTCATTAGACAAGTGTAGTATGTTGGAAATCGGTTTTTCTTTATAAACATAAAAATTAAAAATTGGTTTTATGAAACAAATCGTTGTCATATGTCAAGTCACCTGTCGTATTTATCTAGTACTTTACTTAATGCACATTTATATTTAGACGCATCTATATGCATATCTTTAGGGTGTGGGTGTGGGTTATGCTTCTTCAATTGCCCATACTCACACCTACATCCACACCCTCTCTTCTCGTGAGTGTCTTTAAAACGATCCACATATATTTTTCTTACTTAATAATACGTAAAATTTCATTAGTGACGTCAACAATAAAACTTCAAAATAGTATTCATTTACACTATATCTATGAAAAAAATCGAAACGAAGATCTTTCAAATTTTTATTGTATGGCTACTTGTATTGTATCATTGATATTAAAAGTTTTCTTTATCGATAACGGATAGAGTTAAAGAAATGAAAAAAATTACATTTTGAACTATAAAGAAAATTCGTTACATTTCAAATTCATGAATTAATGAGATATTTTCATAAGGCATATATATCATGATTATGATTGTAAATCAAAATCATGCAATGCATTTGATAAAAATGTTCGTTTCATCGTTCGAAATGCCATTTTTTTGAGGCTTTGTTTTTGATATTCCTCGTAAGAGTTTAAAACGTTCGTATTATCATCTAAGTTTTGTTACTTTAATAAGATTAGATAATTGGTCTTATATGCTATAGATTCTGTAATTTTCATTTCCCAGTTAGACTAAAATGAGAGACATGTGAAATATCAATAAGGCTCAATAATATTTTCTAAAAGTCTATTGTACAGTAAAGTATTATTCATCCCTTACAGCTCACAATTTATATATTACTTTAATTTTTTTTAATTTTAATTCAGAATAAATTATAGAACAGATATTTACTTTTTTTGTATTAATCGAAATTATATTACACATGTTTAATTGCTTCACGATAGTTGATGAGTTTTTATCTAAATTATAATTCAAAAAAATCTCAACGAAAATATATTATTCTTATTATCATTATAGTCAGATTTAATCATTCACAACAACATATAGAAAATCTTTTTTATGTATAATATTATCAGACAAATAGTCTATTAGTCTGAAGGCAATAATTCGGTCAGAATCTTATAAGGGTCTGGGTGTGGATCAGTAAGCAGATGACATCCAAACCCACACTCAAATTCACATCCACACCCACATTTACACACCTACACTCACACCTTACATTGAGTGATATTAAGGAATATTTATTTGATTTTTATGAGTTCTGAGCATGTACAATAAAATTCGACCAATATAAAAGTTAGAAGTCTTTTATTTATTTATTAATTTGAATCGATATTGAATTTTTGTACTCGACTACTTCCGTAGTCGGCAACATAGAGATTACCTTGTCGATCGAATGACAAACCGAAGGGCCCACTGAATTGGTCTGGTTGTGTACCACCACCGTTTCCACCAAGAATGACACTTCCTCGTGTGGCTCCTTTGGGCCAACGCATGATTCGACTATTGCCTGGATCAGTCACATAGACAGTGCCCAATTGATCGACAACGACTCCGGAAGGGGATGACAATTGTGTAAGACCATTCCCTTGTCCTTGACCTCCAGCCACGACAGTGCCTTGTTTTGCACCTTCCATCCATTTCGTAACGCGATTATTTTCCCATTCAGCCACATAAACTGAGTGATCTCGATCAACGAATACGTATTGTGGATCAGAGAGTTGATCGAGACGATTTCCACTTCCATTGCCACCTGCAACCACTGTTCCTTGAGATTCTCCTCTTCGATATCGTCTCACTTCACCTTTCCAATTGTTAACAACATAGAGAGATCCATTCTCATCCATTGTCAAACCCATACAATCGATGTTAGAGATTATTGTTTCTCCACTTGTCCCATTTCGACGAGGCCATCGAACCACTCTTCCATTCGTACGATCGCAGATGATAAGACTGTCTGTCTCTTTGTCGACAATCACATCTTTTGGATTAGTGAATTTATGAGCCCCATTTCCATATCCATTTCCACCGGCAACTACTTGGCCACTCATCTCACTCGACTTCCACTTCGTAATGCGGTGATTGGCTCCTTCAGCAACATAGATCGTTTGATCATCATCAACAAACAAACCAGATGGGGTTGAGAGTTGATTGGTTTGACTACCTTGTCCGTTTCCTCCAGCTACTGTGAGACCATCCTGTTCCCATCGAGTATTCGGACGAATATCAATTGAGCTTCCACGTAATGGAGGAACTGAACTTGGGAGAAAAAAAGCAAATAAAATAAGAGAAAAGAGAGAAAGAAGTGAAAAGTTCATTTGAATTTTCGCAAAATCAACATCGTGTTAAGTTTCGGTTCGTTTTCAACTGTTTTCTTTTAATTGTTGTAAGTAGATATGTCTTCTCATTGTCCACACATCCGCATTATATTGGGAGTAGGGTCAAATATCAATTGCATGTTCACTATAACGTCATTTTTGTCATATGTTCTTTTCATCATGATAAAAAAGAGAACGAAAGACAAACAAAATGATTTTAATACTTTAATTAATAAATCATGCTTGTTACAAGAATATAGATTATAAGTATAAAATAAATTTTGAATAATAACGTAGAGGGTGTAGGTGTGAGTACAAGTCCCTTTCTAGATATCTACTTTTCGATATTGTTATCTCCGATATATTTACCTTCCGATCTTTTTCCTTCAGGTATTTTTATTTTGATGCTAGTTCTTTCGATATTTTTGTTTCAAATAAACTTTAGAGAACTCTTAAGTATGTTCAAGAACGATAGACGTATTGGCGCTAAACTCTTCTTAGATGGTGTTTGGCTACATACTTACCTCGTAAAACTTCAAAATCAGTACCATAGAGGATGAAGAGCTTGATATCATCACACCAGTGGTTCGCCTTACTGCTGTGATTGGCGGGGACATTAAACTCGATAAATACTTCGAGTTGTCGCATATCGTTATCTAAAATCAAGCTGATATTTCGTTGAGTTGAACCTGTGTATACTAAAGATATATCGTTGTTGGCACTAGTGAATTGCAACATACTTAACTTTTGCTGAGAGTGAATGTGTCTGATGCTGCTGATTCCTCTCAATTGAATGGATACACTGGTGCTCATGTTCGCACTCAATATAGCTTGGGAATATGGCCACGAATTCGAGTCCCACTTTTTTGATAAATTGACACGTTGCAACATAGTAGCTCCAGTAACACTTGATTGTAGCGTGAATTGGCAGTTAGTATCATTCGCGTTGGACATCACCGTAATGGCACTGTCGTGTTGTAATATCCAACTATCAACAAGAGAAATATTGCAGTCAGCATAGCCATTGTTGATCAAGTCCGTATCATGAGCAAGTGTTCCATCAGTTAGTATAGCGTCTTGAATAGAGAGAGCATTTTGCAGTTGTCTGTCTGTAATACCAGTGTATCTAAAATTAGCCTCGTACAGATTGGCATGAGTGAAATCAACGCTGGTCAAGTCAGCTCTAATGAACGAAGCACGTTTAATATTTGAGTGCCAAAAGCTAGAATAGGATAAAATAGCACGATCAAAACGAGCGGCAATGCAACTTGTTTTTCAAAAATCCGTGTACGATGCTGTGATATCAGCAAAATCAGTTGAAACTACAAGGTAATCAAAAAATAGATTTCATGCAAACGAAAAGTAAGACTATAGTAAACATTACCTAAAATAGCAGATGAGAAATTGACGATAACGAGTTGAGCGCCTGAAAATTCGATATAGCTGAGTTCACCAGCTGAAAAGTTGGCATTATGGAATGTGGTAGACAAAAACTTGACATTAATTAGTTCCGAGTATGAAAAATCCACATTGGAAAGCAAAGCGGATGAAAAATCAACATTATTAAGTAGAGTAAATGAAAAATTGATATTCTCGAGTCGAGTAGATGTGAATTCAGTCTTGTAGAGTACAGCGGATGAAAAATTCACATGCTCGAGTTTAGCCGATCGCAAGTTGGCGTTAGCAAGCGAAACAAATGAAAAATCAGTATTGATGAGTGCGCTGAATGAAAGATTGACGTCGTCAAGCCGTGCATATGAAAAATTAGCATTATCGAATTGAGCCAATGAAAAATCGATATTGCTAAGGGTGCACCATGAGAAGTCTACTTTGTTAAACTGAGCTTTGGAAAATTTGGCGTGCTCCATCTCGATATTTATAAAAGTGGCATTCGATAGAAAGGTGCCAGTCAATGACAGATTACTCAATTGTTTTTCATTTACTGCTGCATTGCGAAAATCCATATTATGAAGTCTTGCTGTTGAAAGATCCAGTGAAGAACGTTCCGCTATTCCAGTAAGTTGTCTAGCTTCATAGAGAAACCTTATAACGCGAACATTGCGTTGCGAATCTAGTTGACGAAAGATATTCAGAGTTCTGACTCGAGCAATAGTAGCTGTAACTTCATTAAATGTGAGTGAGCCATTACTTTCTTTCAATAATGTAGCCATCTCCATGATATAAGTATCGAAAACTTCATTCTGATATCTTTCGTCGTTCAAGAATTTGTCTTGTTCACGTTGCAGTTGAGATGCTATTCGATCTTGCTCACGTTGCAGTTCGGCTGCATTTCGATCTTCTGCACGTTGTTGTTTGGCTAGCTGCTGTTGCTGAAGAGTGATAACAACAGTAAAGACACCTAATGCGAGGGGCAGTAGTAGAGAGGAGATAAACTTCAGACCATCTTTGAGTTTCAAACCAAATACTTCACGCCGTAGATGGAGAGATTGATCCGTCTGTGTACTCTGTTCTGGAGAAGGCATTCTTTCGGTTTCGCTTGATGCGTATCACTAAAAAATAAATGATCATGAACAATAACAGTTGAGGCCGAGTTTCTTTACTTTCCAAATCTTAAGGTAAGCAAAGAATGTATTTTATACTATGACACGCAAAATAGATCGATTGCAATTTCATGAACGTTACGTTCCAGGGTTATTTAATCTGTCTACTGTATTAGTTAATTGTTCGAACAATAGAGTGTGACAAAATGATACTCATTTGTTTCCTTTATGTATGTCATGCACAAATATTAGTTATCATGTGTGTTATTCAACGTGAAACTATGTCGAGAACAGTTGTGTTCATGAAGATGCAACAAGAGAACTTTCATGATAATCATTTCGATCTCGCAGAATCTCTCATCCGATGACTCCATCCAGATCGAGCTTTACGACGACAACAAACGACCGTAAACAGCAGTTTACGACACCGTATACCGCCGTTTTGGCATGGGCCGTATTATAGCCGTATTTCGCCGCGCCGTAAGCGGCGCAATACGACAACTGTAAACGACTGTATTGATGCCGTGACACAAACCTAATTTAGGGAGACCCCCTCTCAGCAAACCTATTTTTTCGAAGAAAACTCGAAGTTGAGACTTTATCATAGGAAGATGCGTCGAAGCCTCCTCTTTCAGAAAATATGTGCCTTTTTTCCAAAAAGACCAGGTTTTAATAAACTTACCAAAGGAGATTGAGGACCTACTATCATGTTTTTCGAGACATTTTCGGAAGTCTTTCAAAACCGGAAAAACGTTGCTTTTCTATTTTAATACATTGTATTAAAACAAAACAAAATATACCAGAAGATGCAGCGTGAAAAGCTCTACAATTTGTATAATGCCACTTATTTTATAGTTGCACTTTTTGTTTTAAAAATCGACAAAATTCTGAAATATGCTGTTTTCATATGTTGTTTTTTGAGCTTGAATAAAAAAATTCATTTCTAAATTTGTTTTTCGTTTTTCTCAAAATCAATTTTTTCGAGTTTACCGTTTACGCGGGGAAGGATTTCTTAATAATGACTCAATAGAGATGGGATAATTTTTTTTTTCTTGAATAGAGGACAGTTAGGGCTAGATCCTCACAGGCTCCACTTTTTGAATTTCTCTTTTGCTGAAATAAAAAACTCAGATATTTCATATTTATTAGCACTTTGAATTTGAGCATTTTTCGAAAAAGTATTTTTAAAAATCAAACAAAGGGAAATTCAAAAATCGGAGATTGTGAGGATCTAGCCCTAAGGTCACTCTACAATTTAAAAACCACCTCGACATGATTAGCTAGTAACCCCATTGTGAAAACCTTCCCCGCGTAAAGGGTAATAAAGTGACTGGAACTTGTGCATATCTTTGAGATTTGGGGGAGATATTTTAACCATAAGCTATTCTAGTCAAGACTACCATTCTCTGAAATTTTGGTTGAAATCGGATGAGAAAATAACAAAGTTCGTTTCTGAGGGGGGCTCCCCCTTGAGGCGTACACGACCGTATACGTCAGAGTCTACAGCCGTAACATCACCATATACGACCGTACACAACCGTAATGCGATAATGAAGACCAATAAAACCTGAGATTTTTTTGGGGTCTTTTTGAGATCTTTCTCAGATCTTTCTTCGGTTTTTCTGAGGTCTTTCTGAGGTCTTTTTGAGACCTTTTTGAGATCTTTCTGAGGTCTTTTGTGGGGTCTTTCTAAGATCTTTTTGAGACCTTTCTCGGGTCTTTTTGAGATCTTTCTCACGTCTTTTTCAGATCTTTTTGAGACCTTTTGGCGACCTTTGCCAGATCTTTCTGAGGTCTTTGTTGAGCCATTTTTGAGAGCTTTCTCATATCTTACTCATATCTTTCTCAGATCTCTCTTAAATCTTTCTCAGATCTTTCTCAGATCTCTCTTAAATCTTTCTCAGATCTTTCTCAGATCTTACTTGTATCTTTCTCAGATCTTTCTTAAACCTTTCTGAGATCTTACTCGTATCTTTCTCAGATCTTTCTTAAACCTTTCTGAGATCTTTCTTAAACCTTTCTGAGATGTTTTGAGATCTATCTCAGATCTTTTCTTTCCAAACATATTAAAGTTCAAAAGTACCTTCAAAATAAGCTACGACTCAAAAACCATCTTGTCGTATTAAAATAGCTGTTACAGCTCGAAAAATACCTTAAGAATCACATTCTATATGAAAAATCTATTTGAAGATTTGTGTTCAGGAGAACAACTATGATAAAGCCTAAAGTATCTAGAAAAAAGCTAACTTGCAGAAAAACATTCTAAGACGTTTTACCCATAAAATGGCAAATTCAATACCGTGAATACATTTAAAAGAAGATACACTGTAAAAGAAATTGTTCACGGCGACATCTCAACCATTCGCAACTTTCATGGATGAAGCAACATGCGTTTGCTAGTTCGAAGAGAAATCAAAAAAAAAGAAAGGGCGACTAGCCACGTAATTCCCAGTGACACAATAATGAAATATGTACTTCGCAAATGTTTTAATTTGTCGG